CATTTTCCCTAAAACTGGATTTTTACCAAAAAACGTTGATTTAATCAGCAAACCACTGATCCAGGCGAATGAATCGTTCGAACCATTCAATGGCTTTGATCGTTTTTTATTTTATTTTTATTTTTTTGTTAGAATGGGCCGACTATTCAGTTCAAACAGTCAGACTGTTCGGTAAATTACGATAAACGCAGCAAACTACGGCGAAAAGCAGCGAGCTCCGCTTTCAGAAGCGAGCCAGAGCAGCGCGTTAGCCTTTTTCCGCAGGCTGCTCTGCTAGTTGTAGCGCGCTAGCCTCTATTGTAACTTACAAAGTAAACGTAAGGAGTAAAAAATGAGCGTTATAATGGGGATTTTCTATATACATTACCCGTGATTTTCTCTTAGCGGAAACTGGRAAGAGAGAGTGAACCTTAGTACGTAGCACTAAGGACAGCGCTGRGATCAGAGAGAGAGAATTAAATCTATGATGACACCTAAAGAGCTTTGATCAATCGAAGCACCCCATGGATTGGTCACCTCTATTATATATATATAATTTTAACATAAATACTGAAACCTCCTCTTTCATTACAAAATGGATTAAAACCCCCTATTAGGTGACGTCATCGGGCAAAGACCTCTACGTTACTAATTTGTTAAGATTTGCATAATGTAAATTTTTTCAAAAATCCATTTTTGTCCTTTTCATGGTGAAGCAAGAAAAAAATATAAAAACAAATCTGAYGTCCATAAAACTTGTAAAGATCAACTTGCACAATCTAAGATTATAAATATTAGATAAACAAATGAGATTCAAATTATAACGTTTCAGATCAACTTGTAAAGATCCACTTGCACAATTTCAGATTAGATTGTTAATGCCAAATCAGTCATCTTCTCAAGGAAATGTAAGTGTTGAAAAAAGTGCAACAAATGAATTCTTGATCTTGATATTCAGTATCTAAATAGTGATTATAATCTATATAAAAACGAAACCAACTTATTATATGGAAATCCTAAATTCCTCAATGATGAGGGACATTTTGGTCAACTCACTTATGGTGGATACGTAAACGTTGTCAGCAGCGCAGCATCCAACTCAGTAAGATAATTTGTCAGTTCAACACGTGGTAGTTTATAACAGGTGTCTGGCCGAGCTGAGGCGAGCTTGACCCACCGACAACAAATAGCTCATCCGAAACCATCGTGCATGCCATATCCAATCTAGTATCGTTACYGAGATTACAAGAATAGCTCGTCGAACCATGCGCCACAAGACTCGTGGGCAACTTGTAACCGCCGCACGAATTTACCAACTAAAGGACTACTATTCCCTCAAATTGCGGAAATAACTTAGCAGAAAGCTCAAAGACGTTGATCAATGACACCTGAATGCCTAGTAACTATAAAAAGAACTGAGGGACGCTCTAAAAGGTAC